AATCAAATAATGACGCACCTGCAAATTTTATTATAACATGTAAATTTGGTGTAAACAATTCTTTGGATTATCATAAAATAAATTTTCATCTCTAATTATAAAATTTTAAAAATCCAAAAATAGTTAAACGGGTTATGTTAGGGTACTCACACTATGGAGTAATTTATCCTTGTACTCAACAAATTTTGGACACTTCATATCATTGTTTGTTGCAGAAGTATTTTTTTAGTAAGGGTATTTTTGGTCATTAGGAGGTGTACGTCATCTGTAACATCACCCACATGGAGTATTAAATGGCATTAGTGTGCTCCTTGTTGATGATGCCACATCCCATCCATGTTGGTAATGCCACACCCCATGCAGATGGCGTCATACCCATCCTAATGACAAAAAATACCCTTACTAATAAAAAAAATCTATATACTAAACAATGGTATATAAGTATCCAAATTTGTTGAATAAAATGATACATTACTTCATAGTGTGAGCACTCTAGCATATGAAGTAATGGGTTATGGTAGGGTCCTCGCACGAAATAATTTATCATTGTACTTAACAAATTTTAAACACTTATACCCTTGTTTTGTACATGGAGCATTTTTATTAAAGGTATTTTTTGTAATTAAGAGGGGTGGGACGTCATCCACATGGGGTATGACATCACCTACATGAGATGTGAGCACCCTAACATATGAAGTAATTTAAAAACCTCCATATTAATTGTAAGCACCCTACCAATAAAAAGCTTCATAGTAAGGTGCTCACACTGTAGAGGAATTTGTCATTGTACTCAACAAAATTTGGATATTTATATACCCTTGTTTTGTACATTGAGATATTTTTAATAGGGGTATTTTTTGTCATTAAGAGGGGTATGACGTCATTTACATGAGGTGTGACATCACCCACATAAAGCATTAAATGCCACTAGTATATCCTATGCGGGTGATGTCACACCCCATGTAGATTACACTATACCCCTCCTAATTACCAAAAATACCTTTATTAAAAAATGCTTCATGTACAAAACAAGGGTAGAAGTATCCAAAATTTGTTGAGTACAATCATAAATTACTTCATAGTGTGAGCACCCTAACATAACCCTCTTTGGAATTCAAAATTTTATAATTAGATATGAAAATAAATTTTCAGATAATCCTAAGAATTTTTTACATCAAAATTATATGTAATGATAAAATTTGGAGGTGTTCCTTAACTGAATTGTTTAAGGTTGCAACCTTATATATATATATATATATATATATATATATATAGTAAG